AATAATACAGGAATAAAAAACATATAAAACTAGTGTTACATAAAATGTTATCATTCATTATACCGGAGATCGTAGTGCTGTACGCGTCGGACGGCCGGGAATGGGACCGATATCTGGCCGAAGAGTTTTCGCAAATGATTGAATTCCCGTTGAATATACATCACAAACAGGCGGAACACTTGGACGAAGACTACGACCACTTCCACCAACAGATCCCGCGATACAACGCTTTCATACTATTGATTAGCAAAGAGTTTTTGCATACAATCCAACTGTTGTCGCATAGGATGTACACATTGACCGAATCGATGAATCCGGCAAAATGTTTGATCATGTTTTGTGACTGTCTTGAGACTGATGTGAGTGATGGCCACAAGAGATTGCTGTGCGGTTACCGCCGCTGTCATCGACTGGTGGCCACTCAGACCGATGTCAAACAGTTTATGATCAATACAGTCAAGTGTTTGTCTAATATACTGGATCTGAACCGCTATAAAGACCATCGGGTGCTCAATGTGTCTAAAAAACGGTACGAAAATTTTATATCCATAGCACCACAGTTTGAATTGTCCACCGATACAATACACACGGTAAATAATTAATTTGTTTGTGCTTGCTCAATTAGTTTAGTAATTTAGAAGTTTTTAAATTTAAATTAATTTTATAAATAATTAAATATTTTATGTTTTATAATATTTTTGTTTTAAAACATTGCTTTATCATAATAGAAACAACTAATTTAGTTTATCATAGTGGTTTTAAAAGGTGTTTTGCACCTGTTTTTAAAGTAAACAATAACTAATATATTGTTATTTAACAGAGAAATGAGAGGATTTATATACTGCTAGAGTCGGCCGTAAGTGAAACACAGAGAATACACGTATCAATTGGAGTGACAAATGACTTATTGATTGTTCACTGGAAAAATCCATACACACTGTACTTCACTATACCGGGTATTAGTGTACATGATTAATAAGTATTTTTAACATTATTAAAAATTAAACATAATTAACAATAATTTTCTTGTAAAAAAGGAAAACTATATTTATTTATGCAAAAAATACAAAAATGTTATACTTTAAAAATACACATAAAAATATCAATACTTTTAATTATAATTAATTAATGTTATTTAATTGACCAGAATTTATGATATCATATAACGATACGCTGGAGATATCGTTAATATGCGGTCACAAACATTTAGGCACACGTCGGTTGAAATGCANGCAAACTCGTAAATAAATTGATTGTGATCAAATATAGTTATTGTAACATGTATATTTTAGTGTAAATTAATTGTAAATATATTTTGTATTTAAATTTGTAGAGAAAATATTAAACACCCGATCGTTGGACAGGAATGAGTTCGCAATGAAATATAGTCTGTATGATATCCCGCGCTCGGCATCCCTTTCCCACATCCAGTATAGGGATCGACAGGTGTTTGTATAAACACAGTCCCTATTAAGTAACACATTTGTCACAATTTGGTGTAAATAGTATTAATTTACTAATTATACTAAATAAGAGTATTTATGTAGAATAAAATAATACCTCAAGTAATTAATAAAATAATTAATAATTTATTATCAAAATTTTACTAATTTATAATTAAAGTTATTTTATAATCATTAGTAGATGTTTAATTTTATTAGAATGTTTGTTTAATTGATTGTATGATCATGATTGTTGAGATAATCTTATTAATGTATCATATGTTATAATTAAAGTATTTAATGAAATGATTAGCAACACATCTGTTTCACAAGAGATGCAAATAACAAATGGATTAAAGGATTTAAATATTAAAAATAAACTATAAATGATATATAAATAACAGATTCATTGCATTCCGAGTCACAAGTGTTTCAAACAAATTGATACTCATTTCAAATCACACAAAGTTTTCAACACTAAAACACAGTTTAAAGTAAATTGAAAAATGTCTAAAATGTATGCAAAAGACTCTTTGGATCGTTTTGGCGACGATTTGTGTGAACTTCTATTGTCTTATCTCTCACTCGAAGACCGATTCCGTTGCGAATGTGTGTCCAAACAGTTCCAGAGGACAGTCTTCACCACAATTACCATCATTACTATCGACCAAAAACTCAAACGAAAACTCTGTGGCCCTCAATATCTTAATAACAATTTCATACCAAAACTCGCGAAGAAGTTCCCAAACCTGCGGACCATTGACTGTCAGTCAGTATCCATACCGCCGAAGACAGTAATTCAAACACTTCGAGACAATTGCCATTATTTTAGTGATATTTACAGCACAATAAATATCAATTGTGAAGTATACAATGAGTTGTTTGCCCCGATGTTCACCAGGCTTAATTACAACTATCCATTGAACATACATCGTCTCAATCTTTACCACCGATTGTCTCATTTGAAACTCCACTCTCTGTCCGAAATATTTGTCTACAAAACAGAGTTTTTGGTCAAAAATTTGACAAAAATTGTGTGCGAAGTGACAACGGGTTTCACGAGACAAATGATGTCCACATTTGTGGCCAATAATCGTCGACTGAAAAGTCTTCACCTGAAGTGCGAGTCATTAGAGACACAACTGATTGTCATTGAATTTGTGGATCAATTGCCATATCTGCGGGAACTGAGTGTCGACTTACCATCGGATCAAATACCGGCCAACACTTGGCTTAAAATTGGCCAAAATTGTCGCCAATTGACCAGATTTTCGCTCATTTCGCGCACAATGTCTGCCAAAACATATGTCCGAACATTGGATTCGATGCAACACTTCCGGCGACTCAAGAGATTGTCTCTGAAAACCGTATCGTTTAACTTATGGCGTAATCCCAGCGCTAGTCATGAGTTGTCGGTCTTAAGACACTGCCGACGGTTAACACACTTATCGCTATTCACGTCACGATTGACCACCGATTCATTTGCCTGTATTGACCAGTATTTGCCACGTCTTCAGCATCTGGTGATCGGCGACACCAGAAATACGGTTACATTTGACTCTTTCTATCATATCTTGAAACTACCGGCGCTGAAGACACTGACCATCGATGGCCACCATTGGCCCGAAGTGTTTGACAGTCGTATGCATGAATTGGCCATGGTCATTGGCCCTAAACTCGAGGTAATTAAAGTTAAATATGCCGATCGTTTGCGAGCGTATGTGAAAAAATTTAATTTTGATTTTATTCAGTAATTTATTTGCTAAATAAATGACAAGTTTTAAGAATAATTATAAACTGTATTAAAATAGTTATACATAAAATATGTTGTCTTAAACCATTGAACTTATATAATGTTTGGACCACATATCAAAACTACCATCACTTAAGACATTGCAATTACGGATTATAAAACCAGTAAATTTTTATAAAGTTTTTATTAGGATTATAACTTATATTATAAAGTAATGCGTTTGCTTACAAATAAACGCAATGAGTAAATGGATTAAAGGATTTAAATATTAAACTTAAAAATATTTTGATTAACATTTAAAAAACAAAAATTAATTAAATTGAGAACATTTTTATTGTTTATCATGTTTATTGTTTGCATCTAACGTATGATATTTAATAAGTTTATTTAAATAAAAACATCTTGAATAAATATTTATTTTTGCTAAACAAATAATAAAAGTACTAAAATTAATTTAATTGATTTATAAGAATAAATGTCAAACATCATGATAATCTATCGGATATACAAATTAATATGTAATGTTAATTTTACAAAAGTTTGTTATTTTGAATATTTATCATTAAAATTAGCATTTTAATATTAAACATTAATTCATTATAAATAACATTATGGTTAATACATAGCCTAACAGAAATTGAATCTACTACTCGCGTATGCATACAATTAAATCTTATAATACGTTTAGTTTTATACAAATTAAAACTAAACTCAAATAAAAACACAACAATTACAACACTAAACATAATACCCATAGCTATAGACATATCGCGTATAAAATGCAAACCAATTATACTATAATTTTGATCACTATTTGAAACCAACTTAACGTATCTATCGGTGTATTTATTACGGCTTTTCAACGTTTCTAAGAGCCTATTGTTTGCCATAAGTTGTTGATAAAAACTCTGTCGCGATTCACAGCTCGTGTGAATACCCGACTCAACCAATCTGTTTATCCTAACAATCAATTTATTAATTAATAAAATTAATAATAATTATTAAACTAAGCATGCTCATACATTTGCAACACTAGTGTCCGGCCGGGAGTGTCCGGTTTAGCGATGGGAAAGCCTATTAGGGTTGGCGTGTATTTCTCATTACCGACATCTAATAGTAGCTCCAAATGATGTAGCTTTTGATTTCTAATGGATTTCTCGTTCCGCAAAAACACGTACTCTCGGTCAGAGACCCGACGCATAATGTCCTACACATACGGTATATGCGAAACAAAGCACGCGATTACATATTAACAGCATAAGTGAATAAATAATATAGATACAAACTGTCCACCATTTGGTCCACCATGTCGAATTCATAGACAATGTCTCATCGTCGATATAAGTGATCCTGTTTGTTTGCTCCAATTGCCACAAGTGTTTATTAATTATGGTATTATTTTCACGATGATACTTTATCTGCCACCACACTTCTGATAGGTTGGCCACAAACGCCCGCTGATTAGATGCGGCCAACTCTCGCAACGAGTTAATAGAGCTGGTGTTGTGTGTGATTAGCGACGATAGTATGTCGCTTTCAAACCACATTAAAAGTATGACAACCATTAGTGACCACCAATTGGTTATACCTTGTTGTATTTTTGTCACCTCAGGTTGATTTATTAAGCATCGACTTAAACGCCAAAATTCATTTAGTATATTTTTCCTGTTAACTATTAGTTTATCAATTATTACTAATTAATTACAAATGAAATTTAAACTAAAATAAATAAAAATTAGTTACTATGCGTTGAATGTGTTTTATTTTGCAGGTATTTAACACCAGTTAAAACTAGCATGGTTATTAATATCATAAGCCAAACGCCAGGTGTAAATGCCTTATACATGTTAAATATGTTAGTTTTATGCGTTTGAGTGCCGCTTAAAATGACCAGGTGATATTCATGTGAGTACCATTGAGCCTTTGCAAATGTATCAAGATTTTGATCAATTCCCCATGGTGATAATGCTATATCGATGTGCTAAGTTATTGGATAATAGACATAATTTATTATTATCGTAAATTAATAATTAATATTTACCTTATGTTGTTCCATATAATCCTGAGGATTGTACCATGATCCAATTGCCGTTAATGTTATGTTAAAATGTTTATAAACGCCGCTAATTAATGAGTTTAATACTTGTTCTTCGAAATTACATACGAGCTAGATTAAATACATATGATATATTAGTAATTTTAATTAAACTAATTAATTATCAACATACTGTATTTAGTGATAATACATTCAATTTGATCGTACTGGTTATATCACCATGTAAACTATTATTTATATTATATGGAGTACAACGCTGCAAAAATTTAGAATTGTGCATTTTTCTATTTAAAAGTAATATAAAGTATTGTTATGTAATGTAGTAATAATTTACTCTATTCTAAAATTGAGATAAAAATATTTTTACCTAAATGTTAAAAACAGAAAGTAATTAAATTGAAAGTATTTGTATTTACACAAAATGTTTATTTATTCATGTTTTATGTTAATAAAAATATTTTTTATAAACAATTTTTGTTAAACAAACAATAAAAGTAATTTAATTTATCATCTAATGATCTATAAAATAAATGTCAAACGTCTTTATAATTCATTAGTATATTTTAGATTATATTTATAATTTAATTAAACATTCAATATATTTTTAATAATAAGTCATATATTTACAATTAAATGTTTATTATAAATCCCAGATCCTGATAAAATAAATTTAAAAGTATTTAGGTATTATTTAATTAATAAATAGATTGTCTCATTTAATAACATGGCATAAAGTATTGTCATAGGTTGGCCTTTTTGTTTGAGTAATTGCAGTGTTTTATTGGCATAAATTATAGTCAATAAATACAGTTTCAATTCTATATCATGTTTTATGCAATTATTTTAAACATTTAATATTTTATACAAGTTTATAATAGTTTGACGGATATATAAAGCCATTTGATATTTTATCATTTTCAATATATAAATCCTTTAATCCATTAGTTATTTTCATTTTAAATAAAAGATGTGTTGAAAGCAAACGTGTTTTTTCTAAACAACATAAATAGTGTACAAATTATTTCCTCGTTTTCCTAATTCTTAACTCAATGTTGAGATTATAGCCAACATGTGATCAAATGATATGATATTTACAATAAGTTATTGACAATTATTTATTGAAGTCATTTTAAAATACTTTACATTTTTTGTTATAAATTAGTTAAAACAAATAATTGTAAATTTAATTATAATTTATAACAAAAATGTCTAAAATATATGTAACAAATAGTTTTGATCGTTTCGGCGATGATTTGTGTGAACTTCTATTGTCTTATCTCTCACTCGAAGACCGATTCCGTTACGAATGTCTGTCCAAACAGTTCCAGAGGACAGTCTTCACCACAATTACAATCATTACTATCGACCAAAAACTCATTGCAAAACTTTTTAATCCAGAAAAATTTCTTTATAAATATCTGAACACATTTGCAATAAAGTTACAAAACTTACAAACTATTGACAGCCAATCAATGACTTTAAATCACGTCTATATCAAGACATTAATACAAACACTGCGACACAATTGTCACCATTTAAGTGATATTTACTTCAAATTGAATGGCCATGATGAAATATACTGTCAGATATTAGCCCCGTTGATCACCAGGATCAATCACGTCTATCCAGTTAATAGACATTATCTCAATCGCTGCCACCGATTGTCTCATTTGCAGACATACTCTTTGTCCGACATATTTGTCGCCGAAACCCAAATATTGACCACAGATTTGATGGCATTTAAATCCGAAGTGAAATCCGGTTTTACGAGACAAATGATGTCCACATTTGTGGTCAATAATAGTCGACTCAATAGTCTCTCATTGAAAGCCTCTTCAGTGGAAACTCAACAGATTATCATTGAATTTGTGGATCAATTGCCGGAATTACGGGAATTAAGTCTTCACTTCCCGTACGACCACTCAGTCGTTGACTATTTGCCAACAATCGGCCAAAATTGCCAACAATTGACAAAATTATCGCTTATTTCGCATTCAATCTCTAGTGAAACAAATGTCCGGACATTGCATTCAATACAACACTTCTCGGGACTCAAGAGGTTGTCTCTGAAGATCACATCATTTGGTTTAAATAGTTTTCAAGACATGGATTGGCAACTGATGCCAACGTTAAGACACTGTCGACGGTTAACGCACTTATCGTTATATTTATATCAATTAAAAACCGCATACTTTGTCGATATCGACACACATTTGCCACGACTTCAACGCCTGGACCTCTTAGACAACAACCACTGGATTGATGGCCAGTGTTTGGATCACTTGTCAAGACTACCGGCGCTCCGATCACTGGCTATTAATAAACGGGGTTTGGGTTTAAATGGCAAACATTTGAATGAATTGTTGGCCAAAAGTGGACGCCTGGAGACCATTGAAGTCTGTGATTACGATTGTGTCGACAGTTATCTCTCGACTAAAATTATTTATAAACAAAAATAATTTCTGATTTATTTATACTGTAATAAATTGTTTTTATAAAAACTAATTTGTTTTTAACGTAATTAAAATTATTAACAAATAAATTAACAATATTAACAATTAATTCAATTAAATTATAGTTTATTATAAAATAATTTTTATTAAATTACAAAATAATTAGAAATATTAATAAAATGAAATAAAAGTTTTATTGTAATAAATATTGTAATTATTGTCAATTAATTCTATTTATAAAATATTTTGAATTTAATGATAAACAAGGATCACACAGCGATGCTATACGTTAACCCCAATTCGGGAAATGTATCAAAGATTTTAAATATTTCAATACTATTGTTAGAATACTTTCACTATTATTATTTTAAGAATTTTAATTGCT